AAACATAAATCAATAAATGACGGTAAAAAGGGCAATCTTGTTAATACGCCAAAGGGCATAAATAGGCTTGTCTCGCCAGCAAGAACGTCGATCGGCTACTGGTCACCAGACGAAGAAGATCAACACGATTTTTCATTGTACGCCTGCGGAGTATTGACGAGATTTGTCAATCATATCTGAATTTTAAATATTCCTAAGTGTGTTCAATTATTTTAAAATATTTTTCAATTCAAGATCTTGACTTAAATTTAAATTCTTTTATAGCTGCAAATATAAAATTATATCAGAAATTACATTTGATGTAAACTGGTATTATATTTTTTATTAGATCGTTATAACATTTAACTGATAGTTTTAATATCTAAAAATTGTTTACAAATAAAATATAATTATTTAAGTCTATGGAGAGTATTATACTTATGAAACCATGTAAATACTTAAAAGGGCATAGACCATTGGAAATGCCTAAATGAAAAATAAAATGTATTAAATCATATCTTAACTGTATATTAACAGTATTATAACCAGAAGGTATTGCTTACAACACCTTTGTAGAGTACTTGAAATGTTAGGAAAGATCGTAAGTTCCCTGGCACTTGAGGAACAGTTTTATACGTGGCATCTACTCCAACCAGCTCTACTGAAGTTAACTCTTCGCGATATCTATAGATCGCATCAATATTGGCAAAAACAACTGCTACACTAATATCATTCACAATTAGTTCTTGTTGAAAAAATGTTGAGGGTATAATTTGAAATGTGGATGGTTTGCGGTGTTTTTGGTCTCCGCAACCTTTTCATCTTTTTCAACCTTTCTGAGGACTGGATGCACTTTGGATGCCACTTTGTGGCTGCTTCTTAGTGTCTACCAAAATTACAGTTCAATTACAAATTACAATTTAAAGAACACTGTTAGTCAATAATTAGCAAATAAATATATTAATAATAAAATAATGATTTTAATAGTATTATAAAACATAACAAAAATTAAATTAATCTAATCATAGAAAGTTGTCCTAAATTTTGATTTTGTATAAAAAAATGCTACAAGAAAAGATCATTAAAATTGAATATCTTTAAATCCTAACATATCTAGTAAAAAAGAAGAGAATTAAAATAATTAGTTTCATTTGAGTTATAATTTTATAACTCTGACATTGCATACACATAACAATGATTATACAATAAAAGTAAACTTACCTAATTATTTCACTGTTATAAATGCTTAGAACTGACGATGTTGTAATTGTATGATCAAGACTTCTTTCACTGATTGCATCCCTCAAGAATGGTACATATAAGTCAAAACTAAGTAATTATTATTATTAGATTATTATTAAATATAATCGCTGAAAGTTTTTTCATGAAATAATCGCAGGTGATAGTCTTAAACAATAACCAATATGATAATGATTTATAATTTTAAAATGTAATCAGTAAACCGTTAAATACATAAAATACATAAACACAGTATAGCCTAATTCATTGGCGTTAAATTAAATTAAAAATGTTTTCTTATCATTTTTATCTCTTATCAATGAGAAGAACTGACCCAAGCCCTTTAATCTTATATATGGTTGTTAACATCTCACATAATGATAAAATATAAATGTTTAAAATCAAACATGTGCAAATGTTTTTAAAATTAGTTATTTTACTCATTATAATATAGTTAATTTTAAATTACTTAATATTTCATTATTTATTATTTTGTTCAATTTCTTTTTTTTTGTTAATTTATGGAATAACTATGGATGAAGAAATTCAGCCAGATTATTTAGCACAAACTACAAAACTATTACACGAAATTAATAATAGTGTTTTGGAAGCCAAAGAATCACTCAATAAGATTGTTGCCCAAGTTGGCAAGACACCTAAAGGTATAAGCTTATTAGATTTAAAATGTCATACATTAATGAGCTATCTTGGTGATTTGGCTCATGTGATATTAAAAAAATGTCAATTTCAATCTATTCAAAATGACCCATCAATTGAACGTCTTGTTGAACAACGTACTGTTTTGGAACGTATTCGACCTCTTGAGTTTAAAATGAAATATCAAATTGATAAACTTGTTAAAACTGCATTATCTGGTTCTGTTGATCCAAATGATCCAGACCGGTTTCGAGCTACTATTGAAGGTTTAGCAGATGCAGAAGATCAAGAAAATGATGACAATTCTGATATCGATGAAACTAGTCAACATAACTCAAAAAAAGCTAAAGATGGAGTTTATGTAGCACCCAAAGTAACAGCTGTTCCGTATGATGGTGATGAGTCACGAGTAGTTAAAAGACAAAAAGCACTAGAAAGAGCCAAAAAGAGAGCCTTGCAGAGTTCAGTTATGCAAGAACTACGAGAGGAGTTTGCTGATACACCAATAGAAGTGCAAACTAATACAGTTGGATTAAAAAATAAACAATCAAAGTATGATTATGAAAGACAAAAGTATGAAGAAGATTACTTTACGAGGTAGGTTAAAATCTTGTAATTAATATTTTTAATTTGAATTTTTTTGTATCAGATATATACTTCCACAGTTTAGATACTTTTATAATATGCTCTCTACTCGAGTATAGAGTTGTAATTTGGTTTTTCTATCTATTAAAAGACAAAGATCGACTTGAGCGAGTTCAAAATAAATTTATTTCATTTAAAATTATAGACACCAATTTTTTCTTAATCTCTTATACATATTGACACGATATCTTCATGCTAGATAATCAAAACTTCCTTAGGTCTCTTTTCTGACTGTACTGAGGCTCCAGAACTTATATCAATTTTAAAATTCTCTTTTATACTACCCAAATTTTCTATGGTTTCTATAATAATTTTCAACATTTCTTATGAAAATCATTATCCATTATACTAGATCAGTGTCATATTCAGGAAATTTTAATGCTGAGAAGTATATCAGATAATTTTACTTGAATGCGTAAAAAAAAAGTTTAATATGGTCATATATTCTATAATTATAACTTATATTAGATAACTACACTCAACTTCTGTATACTACAGTATTGGTGTTTCATTTAAAAAAATTAAAAATAAATGAAATCATCTTTTCTTTTTTGTAGATTGCCAGTTACCAAAAAGGACAAACATAGAGCCAAACAATTATCATCAATTACCCTTGGAAAATTAGGAAAAGAAGTAACGCATTTTGAAGATATTTCAGCACTTGGAGGAAATTTCAATGAAAAAAGTGGCAATAAGAGAAAAAAGAAGTTTAAAGGAAAAAATATGAAAAAGAAAAGGAAATTTTAAATCTTTAAATTTAATCTAATAATTATATTCTCAATCAAGTATATTTAAAAACTACTTTTATTTTGGTTTTCTTTTTTTATTTCAATATTAAGTTTTTAATGTAATATTTGCAAGTAGCTAATACATTATCTGCTGTACAAAAATCATAATGAGTGAAAGATTTTTAAATTAAGATTTTTTTAGAAATATTATTTTTAAAATTATTAAAAAATCAATCATCATACTGTCTACATATTTTATTGTATTGTAATTTTAACATTTTCTTATTAAATAAGTTTAAATTAATATTTAATGTACAAAAGTTAAATTTACTTAAGATACCTGTGGTGTCTCCTAAGCAAGTTTTAATCTTATTATAGGTTTATTTTGAATCATTGATTAAATTCTTATATCTTATTCTTATAGAATCTATCTTAGTGAAACCATAAGTCAGGTTTATTCAATATGATACATGTTTTATTTATTTACCTTAACAATTGAATTGTTTTGATTTATCACTGCATGTAAATAGAAAATTGTAGTAATTTATTGGAATTGGAATTGGATTCGATGATTGATGATGGCCAGCATCAATTTCAGTGAATCGTAAGGATAATTTGGAATATGTAAACATATAGCAACCATTTATTGCTATTTATTCGCTGATGGCAAACAGGTTAGAGTAAACTGCGCTCGACAAAGAATATTGGACAAGAAATCATAGCTCGAAAACTGTACTCGCTCTTTTATTCAATTTGAATAATAAATATGACAATAAACTGTCAACCACTTTATTACGATTTATTGAAGTGTGTATGGCCAATTTAAGGAGAAATATATTGATTTTACCATATGTATGTACATGGTTGTAACTTGGAAATGTATTAGAGAGGCAATTATATAGTTACATATCAACTAGTCTATATAGCTAACCTTGCTTTACTTGTAAATGTATGTTAACAACTTTATTTTTTGTTTAACTTTTTATTCTATATTAGTATAAGGTGATCAATATCAAATATAATAAATTAAAAATATAGAAAAACTAATATTTTATAACTTCTAAACAAAATGTTTCATAATTATAAAAACTGCAAGTAGGTATATACAACTAACTTTATACTTAAAATTATAACAAATTTATACCTATTAATTGTATGTATTCTGCTTCTGTACTAAATAGATCAATAATTTTATCAATTTAATCATAATTTATTTTTTTCCATATTTAAAATAACTATGTTAGTGAGTCTTTCTTGACCAATAGTATTTCTAGTGAATGTCTTTAGATGAAATACAGATGAAAAAGAACGCTTACTAGATGATAAACCAAAATTGAAAATTAAGATTTAAAAAAAAAAACTATAGTAGTAGCTAAAACCAGCTATTTTGTGCTTATTTTAAAATAAGGTATGTTAAATATCAGAGGAGGCACTGCCCCTCCTAATTTATTTTAGGGAGACATTGCCCTCCTTGCCCCCTTTAGTTTATGTCTGTGTGTGTGTGTGTGTGTGCGCGAGTAAATACACGATTTTGATTAAAAGGAGTGCTCTGATAATCATCAAATAAAAAATTAAAAATAGGAAATAAGTTCTAGTAGGTAACTAGGTTATAGTAATTTTTTGAATTTTTATACAGTTTTTGAGTATTTGAGAAAAACGGAGAAAATATTGCCAAAAACTTAAAATTTCAACCGAGATTCGAACTCTCACGGTTAATAATCGTATACTATTTTGTTACCCATTATTATATTTTGAGTTTGTGTACACGATTCCGCCCAGAATGATTGTTTAAATTATTACAATCTGTAATGTACGCAGGGGAGGGGGGCTAACGGGCTGAAGTACACCCCATTGCCCGTATTAATATTTTTGTTTTTAAATTTACCAACGATTTAATATAGGTAGTATCTCAAAGCGTGTATTTACCCATTTATTAGAATCACGGTCTAAGATATTAATTTATAATCTATGATTACAATTGAATTGATATTACCTACAATCAACAAATGTTGTTAATGTAGCCAACATTCCAAAGATCAATCATAACGGAGGAACGTCTTAATGGATTAGCTTTAGCAAATATTAATAAAAAAGAAAATCTGACCGAATTGGAAGTTCTACAACAATTTTTAAAAACATCATCTAAGCGACTACAATTATTAGACTGGAATATATAAAAATATATTTTATAGCCCATTATTTTTTTTTCATATATTTTTTGTTTATTTAATGCTTAATTTAAATAAGAAATAAAAAAGCAACTATTTTATTTTTTAAGCCAATGTGCCTGTTACAATTGAGTGATTATTTATTTTCAAGCCTCCCCCCTCCATTGTAAAATTCTGCGTAAATCACTGAACACAATTATAAGACATTTCTGATAGAAAATTTTGTTTAATTGTTACATTGGAGGGAGTGTTTATACCAATTTTCCTACAAATTCCTTAAGACTTGCGCAAAATGAAAATTTACAATTGACATCTAGAAGTATAAACAGATCCATCAGACCTTTTCATTCAGAATTTTTTTTTCGAGAGCAATAGTACATTGGTTTCAAGTTTATATGACCAATACAGTAGTATTCATCTCTTTATTGCTCCTGACCGTGGAATCTCACCCTAATTTTTTGAAATTTTGTTTTGACTATGGAATTTATTATTATACAAATATACAAAACAAGCATTAATGACAAGGGTGATTAAAAATATTAATATAGAAAAAAATGAAACGATGTAGAATAGCTCCCAATAGAGTAACCTATTTTTGATTTTAAAAAGGTTTCATTTAAAGAAGTTATTTTAAGTAATAGTTAAATTTTTTATTATTCATTATATTTTTGTACTTTATTTATCGGATAGCTTTCCTTTGTTTTTTGATAATTGTCAACTAATATTAACTATAATTTTAAGTTTTATAACGAATGTATATTATAATGAAGTACAAGTTTAAAATTATATTAATAGCATATTTACTTATAATTATTCAAATTATGTATAGTTTGTATTATATTATCTATATGCATACTAATTCCGTATTCAGTTTTCAGCTTATAATTCACGGTTCAATAAAAGTTGAATCGATAAAAAAAATAGTTAATAAACCAAACGAAATTTAAATTCGTAAACCGATTTAAGTATCATGAAAACAAAGAAATTGTGCTGTTACATAATTTAATGGTCGAAGAACTTGGCAAAGAACGCATGTACACATATATAGACTATAACAACTACACGTAGCATGACTCATCAACTTTTATAAGAACACGTACGTATTAATTTAATAAGTTATAAACATACACGTATCGTAAAACGATTAATTAAAACACAAAGAGGTATACACGTGTTAAAAACACGTTTGACATTTTGTTTTGTCGGTTTTCGATCGAGATCGTTTTGAATTCGTGCGAGTACACATTGCAAAAGTTGGTCAATGTTTTGACTGCGATATTTATAGCGAACCAGCGAAACGGTAGTGTTGCGGTGTGACGTACTGGACGCGTACCTACAAAACGATTTGTGTACGAATGTACGGACGTGTTTTTGAGACTTGGAAGTAGCTTACGTAAAAAAAAAAAATAAAAAGGATAAAACCTGTGCGCGGATCGGAGACAAAATGAAAACGTAAGTAACGAATAAAAAAAGAGAACGAAAGAAGAAAAAAAAAAAGAAGTTCTATTGTTTACTGTGTGGTAAACATTGAGTGCCACAGATGCCAACAGCCGGAGCCTGCGCAGACAAGTATTATTTTTAAACGCACGTGAACGCAGGCCCCGCGCGGTAAACCGCCGACGAACGGCTCTTGTACACCATGGTAAGATTTTCTTCGGTCGCGGAGACGCGCGGACGTCACCGTCGACGGTTCGGTTTTTTCCGACATTTTTCATCGTTACTATTATTCTTATTTGTAATAATAATGATAATAACGATTATTATTATTATTTTTTTGGCGCGCGCTGACCATCTGCGCTACAGCTATTCGGCCGCATTGCACGGCTCAAGGACGTCGCTGCCGCCGCGTCATTTTTATATTTTCGCCTCCTCCGCGCGTATTCGCGCCCACGTCTTTTTTCCCACCACCACCACCACCACCACCACCACTACCGTCTCCGCCGTTTCCACCACCATCACCGACCGACACCGATTTGCCGGCCGACGATGTGACACTTGGCTGCGGCGGTGTCACGTTTCCAACGCGCGATCGCTCGGACGCTGCCGCTCGCCAGCCGGACACTGCGTACACCGCGTAAATCGCGCACGCGTTACGGTCGTTGCTGTACCTCAGCGACAGCGATCAGTGGCACGGTACCGCGCTCACGTTGCGGAGCTTTCCCTATCTCTTCGTCTTACCCTATCTGTCCATCTCCATCGCTCTCTCTCTCTCTCTCTCTCTCTCTCTCTCTCTCTCTTTCCCTCTTTCGCTATTTATCTCTCATCCGTTTCGGACGGTTTCGGTCGGCTATTATGCGTTGTAGTGGTTGCGGTCGCGACGATGGAACAACCTGTGGTTGCGCTCGTTTACAACGACTTGGATCTGCAGCACGAACCTACGCCGCCGCCACAGCAGCAGCAGCGGCCGCGAACGACGGAAGAAGACGACGGAGGAGAGGACGGCACCAACGCGTACTGTAACGCCGGCTACAGGTTAGGCGTGCGCGAGATATGTAGCGGCGAGGCCAGTGCGAACCGTAACCGACACGCGCTTCTTAAGCGTCGGTACTTGCTCCGCAGGGCTCATACGTGTGGTTGACCAGACGCCCAGAGCTGGATCAAGGAAAGGGCTTGGAGGGGAGGGGGATATTTTCATATTTTGACCACAATCCGGCCCTGGAGACGTCGGTCACGCCGAGATTTGACGGTGTCGAGCGGTGAACGCGTTACGCGCCCTTAAGAAGTGATTATAAACGCGTGCGGTTTGCAGTGATGTTGAGCGAAACGTCTCTGCAGGTGGTCAGCGAATGGTGTTCGTATACAATAATACGCAACGGATGTCCTCACGTGTCTCAGGGTGGTGTGACAAATTAACCGTCCGTCCTAACCTAGGCTCGTAACAGAAACACGTATAGTGAAATAATTTTTTAGCTTTTTCGGAAAACAATCCACGCGAACACAACCGTTCGATCGTCCGTGTTCTACTCCTTGTCCCTCGAGTTTTCAATTTTGAACGCTTCTGGGCATTACTACGCGTCTATGACTGTGCTTGAATATTGCGATCGTCGATCTTCACTCACGGCTGATATGTTTGTTTAGTTGGTGGTGCGTTCGTTCCCTCCGAGGGAAACGAGTAAACGATCAGTGATGGTTTTCGAGAGTTTTTCTCAAAGGGAAATATCAGCCGAAGCGTTGCAATTTGCAGTCGTTGTGATATTTTTGTCCATACGAAAATCAATGGAGTCGCGCGACTTCGGCAACATTCTCAAAATGTGTACTATGATGACGCAGTCGCGGTGATATTTACGACTTTCGGTTCGTCCCACGCTGTTACCATCTCCGCCGCGCGGGCTGATGTTTCCGAGCACACGTAAATTATATTGTTGTTGTCTGTTTCAATCTTTATCGCTGTAATCCGCTCGTCCAGCCCACCCACAATTACTTTATGAAATCGCAAAATGTATATAAAATTCTTACATTCACGGTTGTAAGAAATATTTTTTGTGCTTGTTATAATGCTACACGACATACTTGCATACTGCACACACATTGCGTGAGTGTAACAGTTATTATTTTTCAAACATTTTTTTCGCCAGTAATCTAACCTGAGAACGTTAATTTCTTTCTAGGATCGCGGAATCAAATTTCTTAATTTACTCGAGTTAACGAAAACATTTAAATGGTTCTCAAGTATTTAAGTCATATCGATGCTCATGTGTATTAAGCCAATATAAAATAGTGCATTGTATATCAAGTACAAACAGTTAGAACAAAAAATTTTAGTTGTCAACTTCGGGTCGCTTATATTCAATTTTTTCCGCGATACTATACAAACATATAAATTATACTTTTAGAGTTGGGCATGTAATTTGAATTTCTATAGTCAACCGCATATTACAATTAAATGATCATTACACTTTTATATAGTTTTAATTCTAATTTCATTACGACCATGCTATGAAGAGGAAATTGGTTGCATGACATGTTTTTCAGACATTTTATCCTTATTATTTATATGAAATATGATAAATTATTATGAATACAATCTTAATCCTTGATCTTATATTTATCATAGTGATTTTTGAAAAATTAATATTATTGATATTAATATACGAGTATATTAATACATTATTACATTTGTAATTTTTGATCTAATGAAAGGTTTAACGAGATTTTGGAATTTCCATGTATGATTTGACTTACTCCTTAAATAATAGTTCTTGACTATCCTCACAAACTAGTTGTTGACAATATTGAGAAACCAGATAGTCAAATAATTATGGTGTTATGAACTGGCCATGCTTAAAGTGATAAAGTAATAAATAAAAGAGATAAGTAAAAACAAGTTTATATTATGATAGAAATAAAATCTTTTTCCAAGATAGTTAAATGAAATATATTATAACATTAGACATTAGCATGTAATTTAATCTGGTGGTTGATTTTAATGATAAAAATTGTAAATTAAATAAATAGTTCCAACAAAAATGACTGAATATAAAACTGAAGATATCAGAATGAATACAAATTAATACTATTTAGATTATAAATATTTAGTGTTCATTTGAGTTATTTTATTAGAAATTTTAATAAAACTTAGGTCAATAATTTAAAATTCGAGATATTATGACTTATTATTTTATTATTAACCATTTATACTTAATTCGTAATTATGTTTTTCTTATGGCTTTATTTCTGTGTTTATATTAGTTTTTAGTTTATTTGTTTATTTATTTCATAAATAAAATTCTTTCGTGAATTATATTTTAATTTGCTCGTATATAAGTACTTACCAGTTTTGATTTAACATCATAAATTTGATTTTTATTTATTAATCGTTCTATTAAGTGCAAATTATGTTTTTATTTTGGTAATTCGATTATTTTCCTCGGGAAAGATATCGAATTGTTTAATAATCTTGTGGCATTTAATTAAAATTTTTTTTTTAATTTATTATTTTTATTTTATTATTCATTTTTATTTAGTAATTTAATATTTTTAATTTATTCATTTTTTTTATATAATATTTTTTATTACAATAAAAGGAATTTAAAATGGCATGAGGGCTTAATCAGGAAGGTTCACTTTTGCGAAACCTTAAATGGCTTGAAATTTATATTATTTGAGTATGTTTCTGAACCAGTTAAGTTTGAGATGTTTCAGAGGGTTGTCTGAGCTGGATTGATCTGAGCTGAGTAATGAGTGGATTTTTTTTCTGATTGTATTTTGGAATCGAATCTTTTGTAATATTTTGAGGTAGTTTCGTTGAAATAATAAGGTCATGGTGATTGTCATGTTAATGATAAATCAATTTTAAATTACTAACAAAAAGTGTCATATATTGCTTCATGTCAATTTATAAAACAAAATATAATTGTTAATTTTTTATTTTAAATATTATTTAACTATTTTTGATAAAATTATATCTTTGTAGATTCAATTTGAAATTAAATTATTATTTGTATATAATTTTTAATAAAAAAATAATTTTTTATACATATATTCTTATCTATATATACTTCTCGATTAAATAATATATATATTCTATATTCTTAATGACAAAGAAATAAAATAAATTAAGGTACGATTTATAAATATTTATAGATAATTAAATCATTTATTTTTATTGATGTTAGACGTAAGTACTTTTATACAATTAATTGAACCCTATGTTTTATTTAATTAAAAATTACATTGTTAAAAATTAAGTATTTATAGTAAATATTTCGAAACCAACAACTATAAAGATTAGCATCAGAATAATAATACGTCGTGAGTCATGTCACGAATGCAAATCACAAATTTAAATATGTGGGTGGTTATGCATTAATAATTTATAGTAATTCCATTTTGATTCAGAGAATGTAAATTATTATCTACAAAAAAAATATAAAATATACTCCACATAGGCATTTAGTTGCTATATTTTTATAAAAAAATTAATATATTTTAGATTTTTCAATTAGGTATTTAATTAAGTTATAAATAATATTATTACAGCTGTCAGATTTCGAGTAAAAATATGGTGTTGGTTTTACATTGATATCATCAGAATAAAACTGCACAGAACGAAAAACATCAGTAAAATTAATAAAATTACCAATTAAATTATCAAACTCCTTGTTAACATAGGGCCAACAGGGAGGTTTGTTGATTTGGGAATTAGAATGTTGTTAGTAATTCATAGTTTAACCATATCGTCCATATTACATTGTTAGTTTACTAAACCATCCGCTTAATTCAACAAAAATTGCTTGTAGATTTGTTTAACCATATCGCACATATTACATTGTTAGTTTACTAAACCATCCACTTATTTCAATAAAGTAGCTTGACTTTGTTATTATAGATTAACAACAAGTTTTGTTAATTTTGTAAATTTCCCGATTAATTCAACAAATTTGCTTTTTAATTACTAGTGTTTCAATGATGTTGGGATTTTTATATTAACAATCAATTTTGTTAAATGTATATAACTGCCGATCAGATTCATAAAAACTGAATTGTTAAAACAATAAGAATATATTGTTAAATCAAAGTTATCTTAATATTAAATGAGGCTTGACCCACTTTGGATAAACTACAACCAATTATAAATCATAAGTTTTACTCGAAAAAAATTGTTTTATACCTATAAGTAAGGGACATTTGATTTTTATTTATTTGTACACTAATGAAAACATGAATATTGCATATTTTTTTTTTTTGCGTATTCGTTCGCTTATTTATTATGATTTACTATGTATATTTTATGTAGGTACACAGAAAAAATGATTTATCTTGATCGAGTTATTATCGTATTTTCTAATAATATAGTATTTTCTATATTTTTTTCAAAATATAATAAGACTGAAAGTTCATAAAATAATTAAAACAGGTATTGATTTTCCATGTCTAAATTGTTTGAAAAATATTTATTACGGTTTTCTTCATATTTTTCTAATCTTAATTATTGCAAAAATAAGTCTTGGACGAAGTTCAAAATTTATATAATACTCGTATATGTAATGTTAATTAAATAGAGCACCAAACTATAAGTCTATACATATATACTATACATTTTTCAACGTCATGTTTTTAAAACATCACATATAATGAGAAAGTGACTTTATATTCTCTCATAGTACAGATATAAAATGGTTCAAATATTTAAGTTAAAATAAACATAGATTAAAAACATTGTTATGTATTTTTGTGAAGTACACAAATTTCGTTTCTTTTATATGAATAAAAATGTTAAATCGGTGTAAATATAGTATGCTTTCTGAGGATAAAGTAATATTTACATAAAGATAAGCTTATTTATGTAATTTAGGAAATTCTCATAAGACCTTATATTTTATTAAATATATACATATATGATTATGTATATATAATATATTATGTTTTTATAAAAATGTTTTCATTGCAGTTTTGTCCATTATGACTTCCAAACAAATAGTTATGCACAGTATGACGTTAATCCACAAAATGATGGAACTTCACAAGAAGGATTTCATGATGATTTATCACAAAGTTCGCTTAGTAACGATATTCCACCTGATCAGTCGGACACTAAAAGACATAACTGTGAATTCACTGGCTGTAAAAGGACGTATAGTACCGTAGGAAATTTACGAACTCACATGAAGACACATAAAGGTGTGTAAATACATAATTGTATGGGTAATTTTTTTTAATTATTAATTGATAAGTACATAAAAATATTATTTTTTCAATTAAATTTGATATAAATAAAAAACAAATATTCTATGCAATAAACATATTTGCTTATTACTAATTTTGGACATTAAAACAATTTTTCATTATATAACATAGTATACATAATAATCTTAATGGTAATAATCTTAATATTTAATGAAATAAGAATCTATTTTTAAAGTCGCAGTGTGTTAAATGAGTTGTGTAATTTTTATAAAGCGTTATAAAACGTACACCGTGACATGACATATGCACTTGTATAAAAAGAGCGTAGTTGAATGTATAAATATGTTATATAATATATACTCAAAATAATGGTTATTACTATTTATAATTTATAAATTAAATGTTGGGTAAATTTATAGTTATTGGCGTATGTATAATTGAAAGCATATACAGATAAAAAGCAATGTAATGTAGTACAAGTATGATTGTACTTTAAGTTTACATTTATATAACTGGGAGTATAGATTTTAGAAAAAAATGGTGTGTAAATATCATTCTATTGAACATTATTGAAATTATAGAATGAAAATTAAACTATATAATTGTACAGTGGCTTCTGATTAAAACATTAATTTTATACTAATGGCAGCGATAAAATATGTGACATTATAATTAATAGGTAGTTATTTCATAATATAGATATAAGTACATCCTTACCCGAGAAACTTTTTTGTATAGTTGTAGTAACAATTTAAGGTTATTGATGAATTGTTTATAGAATATGTGAGAATATAATGATCATTTAGTGATTGATAAATGACGACATTGTTGCGGTAAATAGAGCAGTTGTACTACTTATGCACGGTGGGTCATTGTTGGCCATGCTTTCATCAATAAAAATTAATCATTGTACTATAATATATAGAAAATATTTATTGTAAATCATGATATTCATTACCACCCATTTATTTAAAAGTTTAGTATTAACTAATTATAACTTTAAAATCAACAGTATGAATTATAATATTCAAATTTTTATTAATATTATTATTTGAAATATAAACAATATACCCTATTCTATTTTTATATATGGTTGTTAATTGATTTAATATTTGTCAGGCGAATATCGGTTTAAGTGTAACATTATGGACTGCGGAAAACCATTTTTGACGTCCTACAGTTTAAAAATTCACGAACGAGTGCATACGAAACAAAAGCCATTTGTTTGCACTAAGGACGAATGCCAAAAAGCTTTCAACACTGTCTACAGGTAAAGATTTCGATGTATTCAGTAAAGTAATTTCAGTTAAATATTAGAAATATGATGGACCTACGGTTTTTTGTAGTACAGGCTACGAGCTCATCAACGTTTGCACACCGGTGATACTTTCGACTGCATGCAAACAGGTTGTGGCAAGTGTTTTACGACTTTTAGTGACTTAAAGAAACATTACAGGACCCACACTCAAGAACGACCGTACAAGTAAGTAACACTTATTTGCATGTTATATTATACCAAGTTACTGTTACAGTCCAAAGGTATTAAAATATTAATTTTGTGAATAAGATATCAAAAACTGCTGTCATCGCATCTCACATATAAAAGAGTTTTTGTGGACCATGGTTGTCTATGGACAGTTGACAAACATTTTGGTCGGTTTGAAAACATTTATCGAAATTGGTTATCGTGATTTTTAGATGCGTGGAAGAAGGTTGCGGTCGTGCGTTTACGGCCAGCCATCATTTAAAAACTCACAAGCGAACGCATTCGGCTGACAAATTATACTCGTGCGATCGACCGCATTGCAATAAGACTTTTCCCGGAAAGGCCAGTCTCAAGACGCATCAACGGAGTCACGATATTTGGGACGAGTCTGAGACACTGTCAGATTTTGCTGACGACTTACTGCAGCATTTTGATAGTGAAACCAATAGCACGACTAACGAATTTTTAAAATATCAAAGTATGTTTCTTGTTATTCATTGAATTTATCATTGATATCATCAGATACTTGTAGACATGGGCGCCCAGAAGAGGAGCGCAAAGACAGGAAATTTGCCCCCCCCCTGGAAATAATTAATTCAGTTAATATCAAGGTTTGCAATTGAAAAATTGCGAAGATTTCAGTTTTTATTTGATAACGACTAAAGTGTATATAATTCTGACATATTTTATTGTTTGCTATGAATACATTTTTTAATATACTTTTTGGTTTTTGATTTGATTATGCCCCCCTGATAAATTTTCTGCAGGCGCCCATGCTCGTAGATAAAAAATTAAACTCGTCAATGTATTTTTTTTCATTTTTTCTTAAATTAAATTTTAAAATCAGTAAAGATACACAGGAGGGGTTACTTATCAACTGACCTTAATTTTATATAATTCTTCGACTAGTACTTACATTTCGAAAGATACGTTCATATGTAGGCATGTGATCAACAGTAACGTGGTTAATACCCCAAAAAAATAAATAACCAAAACGGGTAATTGCCCGTATCAAATATTGAAGGGGTGGTGAGTACCCCCTACTGCATTGGATAAATCTCCTGTGTATTTTCATTTTTCTAATGATCAGTAACCAATCTCCATTATAAATATAAACAATGGTGTACCGAAGCGGTTTTTTTGGGAAAGTAGTCCTTAGTAGAAACATTAGGGTGATGAATAAAAAGTTGGTACCGGCCAATTAATTACTTTTTTTAGTGCTTTAAATCAATAGCGTATTTTCATACTTTTTGTGAGAGGTTTATGGTTTTCTAAAAAATAAGTGATTTAATAATATTATATTAGTTTATTATTATTATTATAGATACAAATTAAGAGTTTTTTACAACCACATAATATAAATTAATGTTATTTTTCTCTGTACCTTCATAGCAAGTCGGTTATGACTTTTGAATTTTTTTTTCTTTCGGGGAGAAGGCCGTGACCCGGAAATCTTCCCCCTCCCCAAATACAAATAGGAATAAAGATGTTCCATTAAGTATAAATAAAGAGACATTATCAATTGTAAAAGGGTGAGCGGGTACCGAAAATGCACGTTTTCCCCTAGCAAATAATCTTGTCACCAAGTCACTGCGAGTTAAAGTAACACGCATATCCATCGTACACATTCGTTCGTACTACATTGGGCTTATGCACACTATTGTGTTTGCAGGCCAATTAGTCATACCACTGTCGAAAGCCAACATCGAAGCGCTAAAACGATCCGAAACGGCCGAGGTCGAGATCGAAGCATATCTGTCGGGCAGCGCCATTCAGACGTTCACGGCAGTCGGTGCGGATTCGACCACGGCCACGGTGCAGAAAATGATACTGGCCGAGCCGAACGACGACATGCCGGCCAAACTGTCGGTGGAGTGCAACATCGACGTGCAGAAGGTCGGACAGGATGCGAACGGTACGATCAGCTTGTGCGTGATGGACAACGGCGAGGTGATGTCCAGCCTGCTAATGATGCCGGTGATCAACGGGGCCAGCAGCTATGAAGCGGTGACGGAGGACGACTTCAGCCAGCCGCCGGCCATGTCGATAGCCACGGAGACGGTGCAGGAACTGCAGTTCGTCGACGAACCGGTCCGGCAGACGGTGACGGCCGTCGAACAGTCGGTAGCCGGACCGGCCGCGGCCGCGGCCGCCGGAGCGGTCGAGCTGATACCGTTCCACGACATTCTCGTGTCCAAGCCGGACACGGACTTCGCGGTGTGCGAACCGGATCACGCGGTCGCGGAGGAACCGCTGCTTCACGTGGCTGAGGAGTTCAGCGTCGAGAAGCTCATACTCAGCCTGGCCGACGACGCGGACCGCTGCCCCGACAGCTCGGTGGCCTCGCTGATGGTCAGCCCTCAGCTGGAAGTGTTCGAGCCCGCGTTCCCGGCGCCCGTATCATCGATGGCCGCCGACGCCGACAGCGGAACCGGTTCCGGCGGCGTCGATCACGGTACCTCCGCCGGCCACCCACCGGTTACGTCCTGTTCACTGACCGTGGCCTGCAACACCCGCAAGCAGCTAAGGAAGGTGCTTGAACACAGGCGGCCAGCGAGCATATCGCATTGACCGTGCCGTGCCGCGTCCCAGCGAATAGTCGTCCCATAGTGCAATCTCGAACACGTCCCCCCCGTACGATATTAGCGATCATTTTATACACTGCGAACTATTTATTATATATTTTTATTACTAAACATATTTTTTACCCGTTTATTACGTTGTGTTTTTAATAGAGTCGCCTAAACCCTACGGTGCAACACGACGGTATATCCGCGCATTACATGTTCTACGGCAGTCTGAAAAAAAAAATAACATTTTTTTTTTTTTTTGCCAGTCAGGAGTTGATTTCTCAAAATATTTATACGCAGCGTATACCGGACCAGTCGAGCTCATCCTTAATTTAACTCGACCCCGTCACGTTTGAAAGGCACTATTTCACACTGTTTAGGTAACGCAACGGTCCAAATTTTTTTTTTAACTTATCACAATTGTGTATTAATCAAAATAGAATACAATAAATACAATTTGACATGATACTTATTGTATATTATCGTAGTATATAAAAAACACACTATGTATACGTATTTAACTATCATAACAGAAAGACGTAACACTTAATAGTGTATTCTTAAACTGATATTATTTTGTGTCACAAATAATATGGTCGAGTTTACATAACTAACGCACCTAATGGTTTTTGACTCTTAATATGATGTATTTGTAAATTATAATTAACTTAATGTAAAACGTAGTAAGTAATCAAATTGGGACCGAGCTAACTATTATTTATAACCTCGTGTAGAGTTTTAATTTACGGTGTTAAAATATTTTTACTAGATTTTAACTAGTACGAAACCGTGATATTTTAGTTTGGAACTCTGAACTCAATACTTAATTATTTTTAGTTATTATTTATTGAATGTGATGTTTGTTTTTTGTGTATTTATAAATTTGATGCGTAGACGTACAAAAGATTATTGTAATTTTATACATTTGGCATGTGTAATATTCTACGTACCATAACGTAAACGGATAAAAAACCTCGCCAATTTAATTTATGTTTTTTTCTACTTCATTTCAACGTGTATATGTCGTTTTATAATAAACAATATAAACTTACGTTAAAAAACGTCGTTTGTTCATTATAATATCATTGGTTTAATTTGTCAAATAATGTCTTGAATAAATATCCATTATCTAAATACGTCTAAGCATACATTTAAACATTTTTAAAAATTTGAGGTCTTCATGAGATCATTTCTGTTTGAACGATTATTTCAAAACTAAGTTTGTATTGTTTTTATATTTTATATTGTTTGCATTTCAATTGAAAAAATATGAGTTATAAACGTTAAAAAAAAAAAAACCCATGAACGATTATAATTCGAATATATTTGCCCGATCGTTAATATTATTAGAATATGTAATGCATTTTCAGTCTTGTTTTAAGATTTAAGAGTTGGAACGTTAAATAACTGCAACGACCCCGATGATACGATTGTGGTGTACAAAGTTAGAATTAGTTTAGACAGACTGATCAGTCGTCGGACTCTAAGAGAAATATTTATTTTTTTTTAATAGATTATTTTGATTATGTCCATCAAAGAAAAATATATTTATATATAATCATATTTGTTTCAAGAACTTGTTGAGTTTTGTTGGCACGTGCCTATTTCAAACGTTGAACTCGATCGTCGGGGCCACGGATGATTATATTGAGCCTTCACATTAATCATCAAGTACCGCAACACTCGTGCGAGGAACGGTTCGAAACAAAACACAAATATTTATTACGATTGAGCAAGCCGTTCTCAAAAATAATCGTATATTTCTCGTAACAACAAAAATATAGTAATAGTATAATATTTCAGACTCGTACGTAGTAAAGCGAACACATAACTTCATAAGTACCTATTCAAAACACTAACGACAAAGGCAGTGTCGAATTTTCAAATAACAATATTGGCGAAAAAACTTTTTCCGGTTCGCTCGCTCGCTACACGAGAGACATATATATTACCATCGAAAACGACATATAAATACACGTCCGTGAGATGATAGAATATTATGAATAATGTCCGTAAATCTATAAAAAAAAAAAAAAAAAAAAAAAAAAACATAACAACGGTTCTGTACAGAACGGAATAAACATCGAACAACGGTATTGCAATAAAGTGTTCGTTAAATATTATATTATATGTGTACCGGGAGAAGAGGAGAAGACAAACATAATAAAACGGAAAGCGTAACATCACGAGTGCGTTGTCACGGAACCGAAAAGCAATCGGTGCGCGTGCGTGCGAATTCGCGTGCGTGCGTGCATGTGCGCGTAATAATACGTTCACACGTCTTAAGGTAGCGCGAGCGTGTCCGCGCGCCCGTATAGTCTTTCAGTTGGGCGGCAGCCACGGTTTGGTCGCGCCCGGGAACAGGTCCTTCAGCTTGTCGTTGAGCTCGCCGTCGGCCACGGCCGCGGTCAGGCCCTCGCACGACCTGGCCACCTTTTTGCAGCACCTCAGGTACTCCTGGATGTTCTTGATCGTGGCCCGGGCCGCGTTGCTCTCGTTGGCCGCCGCGGACGAGGGGAACCCGGGCCCGGCGGTGAACTGCTGCGACGGCGGCCGCGATCCGGTTCGCGGTCTCGGCGAATGCGCCGCGAACTCCGCGGCCGGCACGAACGGGTACACCCGGACCCAGTCGCCCTCCGCGTCCACCGGCCTGCGCCAGTCCTGGCCGTTGCCCCACACCGGCGAGCCGCACGTGTCCGCGGACGACAGCTGCACGTTCGCGCCGCGCTGCTTGCCAGCACCGTACTGCAGGGACGACGGTTGACGCGGCGCTGACGGTTGCTGCGGCGCTGACGTCATCAGTGCGTCGTAGTTTTTGTTGTTGTTGTTGTTGTGGTTACTGGTATTGCTGTCGTTGTTGTTGATGTTCGTCTTCCGTTTGGACTTCCACTTTTCCGTGGCCGCGGCGGCCAGGGCCGACGGTCGACCACCGTCGCCGAACCTCGGGCCCGACGCCGACCGGCACGCCATGCGGAACAGCGACAGACCCGTATTGCACATCGGTAGCCCGAGCAAGTCGAACATGTCGTGCAACAGCGGCCTTTTCACCTGGTTGTCCACGTCGCAATCGTTCCCGAGTGCCGGACTCAGGTTTACCTGCAAGCATTTTCGGTGTACACTAGTAATTTAAATGTTTTTTTTAAATATTAGGCTAATTATTGTAGTTGGTTTTTAACCGTTTGTCACCGATCATTATATCGATTTAATTCGAACCAGTCGCACGCCGGACTAGTCTGAATAGAGCGCGAGAAATGGGAAATTCGTTTTTCTTCGACGGTTTTCAACACGACAACATAATTACTATTTCGTTACGTACGACTACTCTCATCTTGTGAAAACGTTCTTATAGGTCGACGATGCTTGACTATATTATATGATAGATAGATTTAAATGTGATACATACTCGATAAACGATAACAAGTAAAAACACTAAATATTGTGATAAATTTATAAATTAAGTAATGGACTTGATCCATTGGTAATATTTGGTATATTAATTTAAAAAAAATACGTAGTTTGATTTAACAGTAACTGAGCACTTGTTTCTCTCAGACTTTCTCAATCGAATCGGTGAACTATGATTTTAATCATTATCGCGCGTGTCTATAAACTCGCGATTTTTTATCATCGCGTTAAGAAAACGTATAGAAATCGAACTATTTTTTTCGATTTTGAAATCATACTATGGGTTTAACCAATAGACAATGGTTGACCTTGAATTTTTCCGGGATGAATATAGGCAATCATATTAGTTGTTGTCGAATTGTTATGCTAGTACAATGTGGTTTTTAATATAGTTCAATAAATCCATTAAAAATCTAACGATACTAAAATTGATCGTTACCAATGTGAAATATAAACATTAAATATCAGGCATAAATATTTTTGTTGATCCTTTTATTAACACGCATCCGTAATTTATATTGCAATTATATTTTACCGAATGTGATAATAATAGTTATCGTCTTGATATCCCAAGGTTTTTTTTTGGATTGGATAAATTACAAGAATTGGTTTTTAAGTAATATTGTAGGATTAGAAGTACCGGGCCCCAATTCATGTTACGTGTTTCGTATCCTCGTGTCTAGCGTCAATGAAGTTGTGTGAAACCACTATCATAAAAAAGATAAACTGGAAAATCATGAATAATAATAATAAAATGCATAGTAAATACAATTATCTCGGTATGTATAGTATGATTTAAAGTACTATTAAGTGGATTTTGAACGTATTTTTTTTTATTGAACAAATACGGCCGACTCAATAACTATGTATAACAAACAAAAACGCAATTGGAATCGTGTAAGCCCATTTGAACGAGATTTACGTATTTACGTCCGTAATGGTTATAAAAAAGTAGAAAAAAAATCCCCATTGAACTTTATACACGACTAATATGTATAAATTATAATACATAATTAATTATTATAATAAATCAATGTTACGAGCATATTGAACAACAGCCTTTCTACATTCAGCGCGTAATGTCACGATCAAGTATTAATAAATGCATTATAATTAAAATATATTATACCTCTAGCAGCCAGGGTTTGAGATCGGAATCGACGAGTACGTCAAAACCATAAAGCTCGAAACAATTGGACGTGTTCGGTATACCTTTGCTTGTACATTGACTGGCCAATGTGAGACAGACAAGTACGGATATCTTTTGCCACAGCAGCCAATCGTTTATGCCGGATTGACGGATGTATTGTCGGAGTTGTTGGAGTGTCCACTTGCACCCTGCGCAAACAACGATTACGGTATAATTCTCGAACGGACATCGATACACTGATATTATAATCACGCATATATGATCAATCTATTTACTTTCCGAGTGTCTTTTAATACTTTCTATGATTTAACTAAATTTACCGAAAACTATTAAATCTGTCACATACACAGTTGTACCGTTAAGGCTTTTAGTTGATAAATATGTAAGTAATATAATTGGTTTTTTTTTTCATTGTAAACATGAAGTGTTAACAGTTATCGTGAGGAAAGTAAAATATACAAACGAAAATCGATTGATAAAATGAACGTGCTAAGTAGAAGCTCTACGCATAAATAATAAAACAATAGATATCGCCTACATTTGTAAAATAAGGGGTCACGAATTGAAAAAAAAGAAAGACTGCTTTCGTTTACGGTTCGCATTATAAAAAGACGATTTATCAGTAATACATAATGAGACCCCTCTTTAACAGTAGTAACCTTAACATCTTATCTATTTTTAAACGTTAAATTAATTCATAAATCCATTGTTTTAATATCTATAGCTGGAGGCCGATACCAGGTGGAATAATATAACTATGTAATTACCCAATCCTATTTTTTCTTTGGTCTCCGAATAGTTTGGGCCTAGCTTGTTGATCGAACTGTTGGTCAGGTGTGCAAATAGATTGTCTAGGTTGTTCAGTGAATACTTGTCAGTGCTGAACCGGGTTAGACCTTCCCTGTACATGTATATGGTGAGCGGATGGAACGACGGCACTAGAACGTACAGCCGTAGGTCGTATTTGTACCCGCCAATCAGCATCGGATTTTTCACGTACTTCTGTACTACGATGTTGGTATCGTAGACCAACTCACCAATTTGCTACGTAAAAACAGAAAACATTTTCGTTTCAAAATTAATCGAATTATCGCTTTTTATTCCCGTTCGATATGTTATACGCAGAACGGAAAACGTAATGTACTGTATGATATAATGCGCACCACTGCACATATGTATACATAATACGATGTCTATTCCAAACATGTCCCAGTCTATACCAATTCATAAAAAAAGAGGGTTTTCATAGGTTTTTATTTCATCATAGTGTAAGGTATTAAATTCCCCGGATTCTCCAAATCATCACATTCAAATTTAAAACTTTGAAATTGTGATTAATAAAATTAATAAGGTAATTGTTACTTGGTATCTGGTAAAAATTATTGAAATTTCCTGTTTATATTAGCATAAATACAATTAATACAATATAGGTTTTACGAATAATAAATATCGTTGATTCAATAGTTAATACAGAAACATTTTGTATTGATAAATATAAATGTATTGAAGTATTGTAGTTTTAAAAATAAAAAATCGTGAATATAAAAATTCTTGAAAAATAGTTGTAGTAGTATTCAGTCGTGAGTCTTCTCCCCTTCAATTTTGAGCATTGATATATACATGTATATCTATATTGTATTGCGGTTATAATTATATTATGTTTATTTGTTTACGTACCGAAATCAAAGATATGCCTTTTCCTTGACTTTTGCCGACAGGTTTGCATATCCAAATTGACTTTTCGCCGATGTCAGAATCGTGACTACATTCGGCTGCCAGTTTTGTATACTCAAGTGGTAGGTTGTATGAGTCTGGACTGGAATAAAAGAAAAAATCACCAACCATTAAAAAATGAATAAAAATACATATATAATATATGTATTATATAAGTTAACTAGTATGGTTTCCGTGATGTCATAACATTTTATAGGAGAAATATATACAATTCATTATAGTCTGTAAATAGCTTTTAGTTTACCAACCCGATAGGATATTTTAGATAAAAATGTATTATCAGTGGTGGTTTTTTCAACCCTTTGTGATGGAAAGAACCAGCCGCGAGTTTTATGGCTGTTTAACATGTCACGGTAAAATAAAATTGTATTATTTATGTACAGGGGTCCGAAAGAAGTATAACGTGTACAAAATATGTGTTGTGAATGTGGAAAAATATGAATAAACACCTGAATACGAATCGCGTGTACGGACACAAATAGGGGATGATGATTCCCAATCCCGCCCGTCTATTGCATCACACGTAATGTTTTTTTTTTTTTTTTTTTTACTAACGATATCTTTTCCTTTCCGCTTATTTTATATATATGCTACATGGTAATGATTACAATATTATATGACCGATCACGGTGAAACTAATGGATACCAAAAATAAAACATGATTACTTAAATAACGCATAAGGTTATTGTAGTTAAGAGTAATTTATTTATTTTTAGTAGGGCTATTGGTTATAAAAATTACAGAGGCGGAGGACCGATTTGATTAGTGATATTGCTACCGCAAAGGACAGCCGCTTGTTCGAATTTCGGTTACGAGGGCAGATTTTTTTCTTTATACTAGGCGATTTTTCTAGAGAGAGAATGATGTGCCATATTTCCCCATCTTTGCCAAATAAAAAATCAGAAAAACATATATTTACATGGATAGATTTTAAATTTGTCCATTTGACGACCAAACTTAGGAACCGACTTGCTCTAGGTTATTTAGCTGTGCGATATTGTTACAAAAAATTATTTACGACCGCGATTTTATTAACTTGTCCATTATTCGATCATTTTCAGTCAACTTCTACTTTAAAAGTAAAATAGTACGATGGAATTATACAATGGAAAACATTTACCTCTTACTTTCTAATTTGACAAGTGATGACTGACGTTTATTCAATTTTGTTCCATAGTTATAAAATGTTTAAATTTATGGTTATACGTATGTATATGAGGTAACGTCTAAAAACATTGACTTCGTAGCAACACTTTTGAATAATTAGTTATAGCTCGTTTCGTTTGTGTATAAAAACTCAACATGTATCTTTTAGTCATGATACATTACTAAAGCACTTATATATTTTTATAAACGCATCAAATCACGCGCTAAAACTATCTATATACGGTATAAGCTATACAGGTATATGGAGATAAGCGTTAATAGCTGTGGTGAATATAAATGCAATTCACCAAGCTATTTATTTTGGACTTCTGAACACTATATAAAGTCACGATAAAAAACAGTACGTATTTTTCCTTTCGTTTCAATATCACGACGCTGTATAATCGAATTTCATTTAGAAAATTAAAATATTGGGAGAAAAATTATGAATACATTCTAAGGGACATCAATAAAAATTGTTTAGAAATTCTAAAACAATTTTAAATAGTAATATTTTATGAAAAGTGTTATTATTTAGTGACATTAGGTACTATTAAATAATTTTAAATAGATACAATAGGGTTCTAATTGATACTTTGAAGGCGGTCATTTTACGAATTTCTCAACAGTTTTATCAATAGTTGCATAAAAATGACTGAAATTTATAAAAAAACAACATTTATGGCAAAATGTTATCCAACAAAATCAAATGTTTGTATTCATCGTAATTCAAAAAAAAAAAATAAACGTAGAGACTTGACATTTTCGTCGATTGCTAATTTCACTATTTGTTATGGATAATATAACTTTCAATCGATTTGTTGAGTTATTTATGGGTAATTTAAAATTTCATGTTTTCCAAGTATTGATTCAAAAATAAATTTGGTTTGATAAAAAAAAACTTGAAAATATAATCATTGTTCTACATACATATATATATATATTACTGATAAATGAAAAAACGATTGAGTTTAATTAAAAAAAAAAAAAAATTACAAGCAATTAAATATTTAATTTTGAAAAAATAATAAAATTGAAAAAAAAACACTCAGTTTTTATTCTTAAAGTTTGAATTATCCTAACCGTAAGATCTCAAACCATAATAATACTATTAACTGTAAGATCTCAAAACAATTATTGAGTATTTATATAAACATTTTAAAGACATCTCATAGTTTTGAAATATTTTGATGAAACTTGTGTTTCTTATACTCCTGAAATTTTCGATTTTTCCAAATTTGAATCGGTAATAGCTTGATAATACAAGGGAACATAATGCAGTTTTAATATAATTTATATACCTATCAAGTGGCCTTTTTTAAAACCGACCTATCCGACTCATTTCTTTCAGAATCATTTTTTCAAAAGCAATGATACTTTGGTTTCAAGTTTAAAAGGCCAATACAGCGATCACTCATTCACCTGAGCATAAATTTTCACCCTTTATTTTTTATAAAATTTATAAATTCAGTATATATATTAATTTTTTAAACTCGTTTTATAACACGCAAACGCACAATTAACTCATAAGCGTATCAAAATTGATTCCGAATTTCCGTATAATCTTGTATAATAACTGTAGACTTTTAACATGATAATATGGTAAGTAAACTGTCATATTATATTATGTGAGGGTTAATTTTCGTGTTTTCATATTGTACTATAATATGAAAAACGATTTTTTTTTAATACACAAGGCGTTTCTTATATGCAATATAAGTACTTGCGTGTATATAATAATTGGATCTATTGTTATTATTTTTTTCCTAGGAAAAGGCAATTCAATATTTTGAATATTCCCTTATAAAAAACAAGTACTTCAATGTTCATTACCTGAAATCGAAGAGTGATGAGCCGAAAATATTCTTCATGCGTTTCAAATATCGCCACAAGTTATCTTTCCGACACAATGTTGATCCACTAGGTATGTGGTTGCTAAACTAAACAATAAAAACAATTACACAAATTTTGTGAGTGTATTGATTAGATTATTATATCAGTCAAGTATAACGTTTAGCTTATTATCGCTTCTACGTATATAATACTTTTAAACATTTTAGATGCTATCCTCAAGTACCTAAAGTGAAGTAAAATATTATAAATGCACAAATATTTCAATACTTATATGTATGTAAATCGATCCCATAATAAAATTATGTTTTTTTTTTGAAGGAGTAGAAGGTATAATAAAACATTATATCGTCATTAAATGTAAAAAATAAATATTAATACTTAATGTATATCAAATTTTTTTTACGTTATTAATAAGAACTATTCAATCATCGCAAACAAAATTATATTTAATGCTGATCAAGGTTTAAAGTGGCAAAAAGGGGCAGGGGGTATCTAATCTCTAATATACTCTAATTCTCAGAATTCCATATAGTTTCATATAATTATTGAGTAATTAATTATAAATAGGTATATATATATATTATTAAGTGTTTTTAGTGAACAATTTCCTCCATGAACTATTCATGTGCTGTAAAAATGTGTAAACTTGTAAGCTACTCACTTATTGTTTTAAATAACAGATCGAATATATATTTTTTCTTTCTTTAGTTAGTTTTGACTGTAGAACACTGATTAACACCAAGTGACATCAATTGCAAAATTGTAAAGCCAATTTTTCAACTATTCTACTGTGTATAATTATTTTTAACAAACAGTTGAGCGTTTATGTAAAAATTTTCGGAGAACCTTTTAAAAGGGACGCTTTATAAGCGTTGTGATAGATAGGAAAGTGAATTTCCTCGCGTCCTACCCCACTTTAAAGCTTAATTATAATATAACATTTGTTTCTTCTATTTATTTTAATTTTGACTCCACTATATTTTTTAACAGTTATCAAAATGTGATATTGACTTATTTTACAGTTAAGACATTATTAACATAAATTATGATTATACAGTTATAATTAGAAATATATTCGATGAAAACGTTTATAAAAATGTTAAAGAAGAATATCATTTTTGTGGTTCTGATACAAAAATATTAGATGATAAATGCTAAGTCGAAATAAATTTGGAAAAATATTAAAGCGATCGGAAAAATGTTTTTATTATGAAAAGAATTTTACTAGGAAATAATATTGAACACAATTGAAACGTAGGAACAGTTAAAATTAAAAAATTAAAAATTAAAATTAAATATGATGAGAAATCGTTTAGGACCACCTCAATGTTATTATTACAAGTATAGCCATAATAAATAAGAAACCTTTAATTTTTTTTTTTTTTATTATTATTACAAACTACTATGGCTGCAAGTATGTTTTGGTGAAAAAAATAAATTAAAAAGGAAATCTATGACAATGGAGCGTCGGCCAATAAGGATAGGTAATTTACGTCGCTGTCACCGTGCGAAAGATGTACATTGTACATAGTATTCATGCATAAGTTGGAAACCGTTAAATCGCCCGAAACCGTATGGACGTTGTATTCGTTTTTGGCGCATGGTCATCATCAAAAGCTGCAGCTTATTCAATCGACGCAGTGCAAAAAAACATTATTACGAGTTCTATCGGAATCGGGTCAACTCACTCAAATCTCCGTGACTGAAACCGCGCCGCTGTTATTACAACGTATACGGTAGCGACTAATAACACATATACATACACACACACACACACACACACACACACACTAGTACATCACTACGTACACCAAGAGCGTACCCAAGGGGGGGTTTCGGGTCCGGACTTCTCCACTGAAATTTCTACATACTCAACGATTTAATAGTAAATAGTATAATAATAGTATATAGTGTATTTTAATTTCCCATTATCAGATAAAATAAAAATGTTGGACTCCCCACAAAAAATTCTTGGGTACGTTCCTGACGTACACACATACCTGCCATATTTTCTGATGTTTATAGTGCGACAATGAGAATCCGGCTGATTTCCACCACAAGTTCCAATATTCGTCCGCGGGCACCGACCACGCAGACCACGTAGAGTCGCCGTTCTTCGTGCCTTCGTATTCCTTCCAACCACGTTCTTGACACACCTACACGGCGGGCAAAAAAACAATAATAACAATATTAAATATAAAAAAAAAAAAAAAAAAATTACACGATTATCTCGTACAAGTATATTAATGTTATTTTATAGTGTTGGTGAGCGCGTTCGCGTCATGTGTATACGTTCTCACGCTACACATTTCCTTCTACTGCATCAGTGTATTTACTATAATACCTCGTAACCCAACCCTGTCGACTTCCGATCAAAAAGAAAACATATACATCATGAACATCACGCATACCCACTTATTGTACTAATATAATATAAACCGCACTAATTGAAATATTCACAGTGTGCTGTATTATGTGACACGTATCGTCGTATTAACTGTTGTAGAGGTGTAACGTTTTTATAGTAGTACAAGAACGATAACGATCGAGTCTTGTTCAAGTCTTACAAACATTTATTTTTATAATATACATATATGTATACGATTTGTTTGTGGACGGATTAACTTGTGGACTATTCGTATAGAAAATGTGATCAAGTACATAATAATCTTTATTTTTGTATCTGTTTATATTTATTTTTTCCCGCGCGGTTTGGAAGTAGTTAACCTTTACAACGATGACCGTACAAAATACGCAGACGTGTATACCATGTAGTACGACGAATGTTAGTATTAAACTTACTATTTTTCGGTTTATTATGGATTCCAAAATCTTAATTTACATTGTATTTCATTTATTTTAATTTTGAGTATATTTATCATGTTTAATTAAATGTTTGTTTAATCACAATATTAAATCGTAGTTCTCTTTATTCATTTATATCTTTGTTTATAGGTTTAAATGCTTTCAATTATTAATGAACTGTGAGAAAATAAACTAACTTTGTGTCCTTAAAAGGAATGATTGTTCAAACTAGTCTTGCGGTAACAACAATTGGCTCTATACATTCTGTCGTTCTGGTGTTTTATTTATGTACGATCATGTTTCTGCTACACTTGTATAATTGCATTACTTTACATTTACGTACATGGGTTATTGTAATGATGCGACACATTGGATTCAAAAGTAAAAACTATATAATGCCGTCAGGCACTGTTAAACGTGAAAACGATTATTTATAGTTTTTAAACAGATCCTAATAAGTAATAATAACCAAAAATAAGCTATTAAAATAAATGCAAACGAATAATAATAATTAATATATTGAAATGTAAGTAAAAAATATTTTAAATATTATTAAAATATTTATGTTTTAAATTGCATTTATACTGCTAGTTATAATATTGAAGTAGTTTTAAATAGAAAATAAATTATACTTCAAATTACTCATATGTAAATCAAACAGTTACATGTAAATTTAAAATGATCAACTTAAATGTTTTATTCAATTCAATATAATCTAAATATGAAATATAGCAATACTTTAATGACGATGTACGGTTGTAAATAAGACTTAAAAAAAGTATATTTTAGACTTAAGGATACGTTTTAATTATGATTCATAACAAGGTATATGATTTAAATTAATAATAGGTAAATACAGTAAGAATTATCACATATAAAAACTGTTAAGAAGCATAACTTCCAATATTCGTATGAAAAACAAATTTTATTTTGTGCTTGTTTTAAATTTTAAATGAGAAACTAAATTTTGGTTTTCATGTACTAAATTTCTGGCTTTGTGGAAAGCACAATTTTAATTTTGAATTTTCTTATAACCAATTAAATCAAATTAATTTACGTGCTAAAAATAATATATAAATAATAAAAAGTGAATTTGTAATTATAAATGATCATTTAAATCTTATAGAAAGGTATTCAAATCGAATACTATATTTAAGTCTAGCGCCAAATAAATTATTATAATATATTAATATACATTATTTATATTATTATTATTGTTTGCATATGTTTTTAAATAAGTGTATTCTATTTATAGTAAATTACAGTACATGTGGCCGATTTAAAATAGTGATTTAAAAATATGTTTAACGTTTATTTTTTTTCTCAACTTGTGTCGGAAAAAGGAAAACATGCATTAGATATCTACTACATAATGGTATTGAAATCAAACAGACATTTTTATAGTAGACTATTCAATAAAGCAACAAATGCTCTTTTGATAAAAATAGTTTCGTATATTGGAGTGGATTCACGAGCTATATTTTTCATACTATTATCATAGCCATTTTGTATGACGAAATATAAAGCACAAACGAATAAGTCAGTTAAAATTGTTGAACGACAAATTAAGCCGTCACGACTAACTCTTCTTTCCTCGAAAACTACGAGAACGTACACATAAACCAAAAATGTTGGAAACGATGTGCATGCCGTACGTAAATTACAACCAGAGTTATGTTGTTTGATGTTATATTAATTATTATTATTCTACTGAAGCAGTTGCAACTTGCAAATATAGCAATTATTGTTACGGTAGAGTAAGGTTCGTGACATTTTAATAAAGAGCAAAAAAATGACAGGCAATATATCCTTTGAATTCTTAAAAAAAAAAAAAAAAAAAAAACTATTATAACAGAAAAGAAAGAAAGAAATAAAAGAATCAAAAGATATCGCATATTATTATAGTAGTTCATGTCTTATATTAATTTTTGTTTGTATAATTTTTACGAAATACTGCAGAAGTGTGCAGAAAATAGTGTTTTCAAACGCCAACGCCCTATGGATTTCCAATAAAATAGTTAGCTGACTGGAAAATATTTTAGGAATATTCAGGGCTTCTCAAAGGATAAGTCATAGTATATTACCTGTTTGATTAGGGCCGGGCCAGTGCCGTTCTCATTAACTCGGAATATGAAGGGTCTATCTTCAGGTGCGGTGGATGACATATTGCCGATCCTCTAGATCCGTGCAATCAGATCCGTGTAATAACCTACAAATAAGACAAATAAAATAAAATTAAATCTCACTGTATAAATAAGCATTTTTCAAATTGAAAATATTATTATATGGAATAGATTATATTTTAGTTGTTCGCAATAGGTATGTGAACGTTTTGATGTACGGAAAACATTTAATAATGAAACCGTTTCGGAGAGTGGCCAACAGTGAAATGACCGGCAGATGTGACGGTGCGTGACTGTGAAAATCTTTGTTGGAAAAATAATAGTGGTGTAAAATACACTTACCCATTACAAACTGTGGCAATAATGGTAATAATATTGTTATCGACGTTAGATAATATAATTTATATATTAATTTATTTGTTTATGTGCATACAGACGCTGTAAACGTTTAACACACCGAATATACACACGTATATTAGGTAAGCAATCGTTAAAGCGTTGTCGATGGGCGCGCCGTCGGGCATATATATTTTGAGGATAGGAATTTTGTGCTCGAAAGACATCGCGATGTATGAACTAATTAATATGAAATTATTGTTTCCGGAAATGTGGGACGGGAAAAGAGTGATTGGCGTTTTGTTAAGAGAGTAAATTGTTTGAGACCTATTGAAGTTTTTAATCCGGTTGAGTGAACGAAATCGACTGTCAAGTTGCAATTAATGATAATGATCGGACGGAGGAAATTGATTTTTTTTTATGGTAATATTTCATTTCGTAAAATATCAGATTAAAATTCATGGAATAAGTTGTTTATATATTATGAACAGAAAAAAATAGATTAGTTAATGCTTTTTAAATAGTGTACATATGCTTTTGTTGAAATAACCTTGGGTGTGTCATTTAACACATTTTATGACGAACCCTAGACTTAGGAAATATTTTTATGCGTGTAACACAGATCTATCAAGATATGAATTAATGTGGGCCGAGTAACTTTAGGCTTCTTTCGTACCAGTACTAATATTTTATTTATCCTTATGCTTCATTAATCATGATATTTTATCTACAAAATGTTTTATGTGAGTCAAATGATTTACTTACTTGAGTTTTTTTTGTTTAAATTTTTAGACTTGTAATGATAAAAAATATTATTTTGAAAGTCTACCATAGCGAGTATTTTATTTTTTTAAATGGGCGATACTTGATTACTCAATTATTATAAACAACACACACACACACACACACACACACACACACACACACACACACACAAGGGCACCGTCAGGAATTTTGACAGGGGGGTGCATCGTGCATAGTATACGCTGATTTTTAAATAATGTTTAATTTATTTTAGTAGAAATACATAGAAATATTTTTTCAAATTATATGTCCGTACAAAGTTATTTTTGTTTATTTGTCGGATACAAAGTAATGAGGGGTATTGGCATAGAGTAATAGAGTATTACTCTATGGGTATTGACTACGATTAGAAAATTCGATAATGATCGACAACTCGTAAGCTTATCGCATGTGATAAAAGTGACCGATTTATAAATTGACTATACTTGTGACAACTGGCATGTCCTTTATATTGAAAAACCTAGGCGTTTACAGTTATTATTAGGGCTCAGATTTCAATGCATTTGCATCTTTTTTTTGGGATGTTATACGCGATGCTTTCCAAATTACAAATTTGTTTCAGGTACTCCGTGTTCTACCCACAAACATTTTTTGTAGCTTTTTGCATTCTTAGCGGATTTTATACGAGCATTTTTTGATATTATTAATGCATTAAAGAAATACTAATCTTACAGTGCAATTCAAATATTTAATTTAATTTTTAATTCAATTTTTGATTTTAATTTATTTTTTATTTTTTGTAGTGTAATGTAAATAAAATTTCAATTTTTATTCATTTTTTAATAATAATTTGAATGTATTTAATAAATGATGCACTTTTTGATATTTTTTGGGAATTTTTTAGAGTTTTTAGGTTATAAATGCATTTTTTGAAAGGGCATTTTTTTATATTTTTAGGGCATTTAAATCCGATCCCTAGTTATTATTTAAAAATAAATATTATAATTTATAATAGATAAACAATAATTATTATGTAAAATAAGTATTATAATTTTTAATAGATAATTATGTAAAATAAATATTATAATAGATTACCAAAACAAAATAAAATATTTTAAAAATGTACCATTAATTTTTTTTTTTTTTGAGAAGCCAGGGGGGTGCAATTGCACCCCCGTGCATGCCCCCATCGCGGCGCCCTTACACACACATATATATATATATATATTTATATAAATGAACAATGGGGATTTTTGGAGGAAAAAAAGTCTTATTCCCGAATAGGAATTGACACTTTTTTGGCAAAGTAAAATCATGAACTTGTGCGGAAATATTCCTCATGTTAGAAAAATGTAAAAAATGTTTGTTTTGATAAAATGTTCTTTCTTGTTGACTAAATATGACGTTTAAAAAAGTAAAAACTCAAATTCTATATTAATATAAAGTTCAAAAATATTTTATTTTTATATTATTTGTAACTACTACACAAATTTAATAATTAGAAAAAAATTAATAATAACAATCTACATAATATTATTTAACTTTTTGTTAAACTGAATAATTTCTCAAACATAAATTAAAAAAATAATACTGATGAAAGGTACCAAATATATTAATACTGTATTTTTAAACTCTTTTTAAGTACAAATTTAGTTATATTAGTAATAAGATAAAACACCGAAATACTGCGTTCAGTCTTTCAAAATAAAACCATTTGATATAGGTATCACATACAAAAATAATAATCGTAATATCGAGGAAAATTGGAAAAGTAGTAAAGAAAATACCCGGGAAAATAACTTTTCTCAGGAATATTTACTGGGAAAATTTCCAATGGGACATCTCTATTCCCAAGTACTGCACTAGTTTTATGTTAATTTTCCAACTAGGCAAAACCTGACAAATCTTATGAGAGATTAATGTACAGCAGTTCAAGCATATTATTTTCTTGTTGATTTTTTTTTATTAAATTAGATAACAGAAATTAAAATTAAATACTTAAAATAATGCATTGATTGTAAAAATCTAGAACTACAATTATTTTAATTATTAAATAATATTTTAATATTCTGTAATGCTTACTCGTGTTAGTACCGTACACAAAATACGTTTTTTATAGTTTTAAAAAAATATATAGCAAATACTAGATCAGACAAAAATAAAAAAAAAATGTCTGAAATCGAATACCATTATTTAAAAATTATATTAACTATAATTATATTTTCCAATTTTATTATTTTTATGTTTTTTGTTTTTTTTTGTAGAATATAAAAACACTGGAAACACTTAACATTTTCAACCATAATGATGACAATGATTATTATTTATTACCATAGCATTGGTACTGGTACATTTTTATAGGTAAAGTATGTTCCTGTTTAAACATTTTATTATAAAATAAATTCGATTTATAATACAATCGAGTTGTTTTCGCTAGTGAAAAATATATTTTAAAAGAAATAATATGTTTGAAACATGCAAAGTACTTATAAAATAAATACTGAAAAAATGTAAAATACTGAAATATACGATTTATGAAAAATACTTAGGCGCAGTAAAGTAAATTGTATTCTAGGTAAAAACTTATAGCATCGTTGTCATTATTTATTTTATTATATTTTGACTAATAACATAAAAGTCGTATAGCATAAAAGCTTTTGTGATCAAATTAAACGAGATACCAAATGAAAAAACTACTCGAAATAGTGTAAGATAGGTAATGAAAACGGACAGGTGTGTTTCAATTTGTTTACCAACAAAATGTAATAATTTTTTTTCAGTGTATTTACTTAATTGATGTATTGGGTGCCCATATAACCGCTATTAGCACATAAAAACGATTAACTGTGAATCCCGGTTTACCCAAAAGCTTCAGAAATTGTATTAAAAAATATGGTTAATGTTATGACAGTTTGGTTTGTTGTAACTCAACAAAGAAAATCTTATCGAAATTCATAAATACATATTATATCATCATGTCATCGAAATTATTTTAATGATTATATTTTCACATTGCATTAATTTTAAAAACATTTAATCAGAGGTATTCGATATCAAAGAATAAATTTAATTTGTACATTTTATAGGACAGATAAATATAAATATTTTACAATCCCTGGGGAAAAAATGTTGTTGAACGCGTGGTCTGGTAGTAATAAAATCTTTAAATATATTTTGGCAACGTGTTAATGCGTTAAGTTTAAAACGAGTAATTGTAGAAAACCGATCAATACACTCCAGATCATGTAATCATAGATTAATTTGAGTTCTAAAAATATATCCCTTTAGTTTGTGTTTACAATTGAGTAAACTGTTTAGTAACTATGTCAATCGGAACATTATTTATTTTCTACATAGATTTTTACTGTAACGTACTACGTACTACTGATATATAATAAGGACGTGGTAATGTTTTTATTTTAATAACTTTCTCATTAGAAAAAAATTATATTATTTTTATACGTTTGCCGGTTACGCATTGTGTGTTGAAGAAAAAAAAAAATCTAATTAACAATGATAATTTACTATTTATAATCTTATTGTTACAACGTTCGTATATAATTACGAAATGTATACGGATACATGGTTTAGCGGTTTAAGGTGATCGTAATGTGCACGAACAATACCTTGTTAAGATCGCTTGGGTTGGAAAAAAAAAAAAAAACCGATGTTCGCGCAACTACGTTATTGCGATTGCGGAAGGTTCGCGGTAATCACGGAACGGAGTGAACCTGTAACGATGATGTTGTCCGTGGTACGCAACGGGTTACCGGACGTATGTAAGTCGACGTTAAGTTTTGCGTTATCAGAGTGGTATGGACGTCGTACCGCGTTTGACGGCGGTCGAGTTTCGAACGGGAGGAGAGGTGCGGAAAAGAAAAACCGAACAAACACGCGGACGAGACTCGGGGCACGATTCCTTCTCACCTGTGCGGACCATGGAGATGATGCGCTCCATTCGGTGGTTTTTCCCGGTGGCGACGGACGGCAGCAATGATTTTCACCGCTATCGCGCGGCGCGGCGATACGACGACGACCCGGCGAACGTCGTCACGAAATGCGCGCGCACGGGCATGTCGGCGCGGACGTCGACGGATGAGAGTAGCGAATTCGCGAGCGTCGCGCCCGAGGAAACGCGGTTTTATGGTTTTGCGGGCCGTAAAA